CCTCAGACAACGTTGGGTCTCACCCATGGCATCCTTGGTACCAGTTTTATCAGTTTTAGAGGTTATAGCAGTGGACAATCACAGCACTTGCAATCAGCTGGGATGTAGCTGTTCTTTCTAACTTTTCCCTACCAGTGCATGGTCATGTAAAGCAGCAGAGCCATGGTTGGGAACTGGAGTCAGAAGCAGACACACATACCTAGTGCTCTTCTTACTGCAGAGCAAAAAAAAAAAATCTGGTCTTGCTAAGCAGATAAATACAGTAGGTCCAGGGATTTATGGACAAAATTAATGTTGACTTAAAAAGGACAAATGGAGAATTTGCAATTGTGTCGGGAGTGTGTACTGCAAACATACCCTTTCAGTACATTATTTCTTGTGGACAAGGGACTTGACTATGTATAGTTGGTTGCTGGTATAGCGGGAATTGCTTTTAGATTGTATTTCAGGACTTTTAATTAAGTTTTATTATTCTTTTACTCACTTTTACTCACTTTCCCAAATCTTATCTTAGTATCTGAAATTTCTGGAGCAACTTAATAAGAAGATGAAACTGGATAGCCTAGCAACAGAGGTCGGATTTGATATGAATGTTGATGTGATTCTAGCTCGGGTAGAGCAGTTAGTGAAACTGGAAGGTGATGCAGTGATTGAAAACAAGACTATGGCATATAGCCTAAGAAGGAAGGTAGGCAAAAAAGATGTACTGCTACTCTTTGTTTCAAAGATAAACTTTGTTATGGCTATATTCCTATAGTGGCTTGCTAGGGGCAGCAGATTGGAGCTTCATATATATACACAAGGAATTTCAAAGATGGCCATTATATAAAAAGAAGACAGTAAATGTGTAAACTGTTCAAAGAGACTGCATATTAAAAAAACCTAAAACCACCAGTCAGTTAAATATGTGATACTGCTTTCACAACTTCTTAAAAAAATGTATAAAGTTATGCATGTTTATATGTGTATATATGTCTACTTTTTAATACATATTTATAATATACTTCTGTAAACAGCTCTTGCCAATATTTAAATCTATAAGGATCTGCTGGGAAGAGGGGCATCTTACACAAACTTCTCTAGAAAGCAGTAGGACGTTGGTTGTACTTCACCAAGAATTTCAACATTTCCGATAAGAACTCTCCTCCTTTAGGAGCAAATCTGTTCAAATTTGGTCAGACCTCTCCGTCATCCTGTTATGACAGAGTGAAATCTTCTGGTTTTAGCCTTATCAGAATGGTTTAGAGCTTAGAATGAGGTCTGTTTAAGGTTTAAAACTATGCTGTATTTTTTCTGGAAGGTATAAATTACCTGCTTCTCTAGCAGGGAGTACAGTTTGTATGTTAATACTCATCAGATGTTCCAGAGTAAAGTCTGGCAGCTCAGCTCAGGTAAACCGAAAACAGGCAGCTCCCTGAGCACCAAAATTACAACACTCCTTGTGTTGGAGCAGTGGATGAAAGCTGTCTTATTTCTCTATGTTGGTTCTCCTTGCACACTAGCCTTAATTAACTGATTAAATATGGAAATATCTTAAACTACCACCACTGAAACCACTGTCTCTTTAATTAATCTCTCTTACCTCTTCCCTTTGACTACTGTTTCATATTTACGACAATCTCAGATGTTACCAATGATGCACAAGTATTTATGTTCAAATAGGGTGCAGTCTATATGTAAATTCATTCTAAAAGGTACTGCACAAATTCGGGGATGGAGAAGCACAATGAATTGTGGTATGAGAGGTGCCAAGTTAGTGTATGTATGTTTAAACTGCTTTACAGAGTTTTCAAGAGAGGAATGGGAGTTCACGTTAAACATGCAACATGGATATTAAATTTCCAAAACAATTGGTGTAGTACTGTTATCTTTCACATTTTTTTTTTTTTCAAATATCCTTGTGTTTTAAAAACTAGTTGAAGACTCAGAAGGAAAAACTTGAAAGCAAAGAGCTGCACATGAACCTTCTGCGGCAGAAAATAACCCAGCTGGAGGAAGAGAAGCAAGTAAGGACCGCCTTAGCTGTGGAGAGGGATGAGGCCAATCTCACTGTCAAAAAGTTACATAAGATGATAGAGAGGTTACAGAAGCAGCTTGATCTGGCAAGGGAAGTGAATACTGATCTCAAAGCCAAGCTGTCTGAAACCAATGAACTTAAGGTGAGTTAAACGGTTACATTTGTGCTTCTATCCATTTTTCAGTTCCAGCTGGATACAGCTGGAGTTCATTTACAATAAATGTGTTCATGGAGGACTGCTCAAATCCCTCTAGGTGGGGAATGCAAATATAATATTACAATGTTTGGCGTATTTTGCAATTTGTCTCTGTATACTAAGTAGCATCTGGAAAGCATAGTGTACATTTTCAGGCTAGTGTAAGAAAAATATGCATCCCTTTCTTTCCTGTCAATACAACTGTAATATTATATATTGTTCACAGGAAATCTATTCTGCTAGGTATGGGGGGAAAAAAGGGTTTTTTCTGCATAAAACAGGCAAGATGCTAAATTTTCTTTGTTTCTGTGTTTTGTTACATTCCAGCAGTAATAAATTACCTGCTTTAACTCAGGTGAAAATAAGTAGTTTGCAGTCATTGATAGTTTGCCACTGCTGGAAGAAAGAAAGATTTATTTTATGTGAGTTTGTGTCTTGTGGCTAATGGAGTGAAATAAGACAAGTAGGTGCATGTTCCAATTGAAGGATTTTTACCAGTAAAATGTTTGGCAACTCTTTGTCATACTATTTTTCCAGGGGCTAGCAGGGAGTGAACTCTTACCCTGTGTTTTTTTCTGTCAAGTTACTTCTCTTCACAAAACTTGTAGAGAATTAACTGTCTTTGAAACAAAAATCTTTTTGTTAATTGAGTTGAAAGTGGCCAGTCTGCTTTAATAACTTTTTGGTTCAGAAGTACATGTGATTTCACTGGGAACCCAGAAGAAACCACATTAAAGTGCTTACTCATGATTACTCCTGATTATTATTTGTTCATGTTACCTGAAAAAAGTTTGACAAATGCAATATTGCTTTATTATTGCAGATCAAAACTTTGGAGCAGAATAGAACAATAGAAGAACTCAGTAAGTCTCAAGGCAAATTGGAAATTATGAAAGAAAAGGCTGAGAAACAGCTTACCTCTGTCAAATCAGAACTTCTTTTAAAGGAGCGTAAAGCTACTGAAGATGAAGAAAAAAACAAAAATATTTTAGAAGCAGTTACTGGTGAGATGAAGGTGCTTAAAACAACCCTTGCAGAATTAGCAAAAAGAGAGAGACAGGTAGGTGCATAGGTATTTGGCAAGTGCTAGCTGTCTCTTAAGATATAAGAATGTGGTATAGATGGAGTGCATGTCCAGCTGTGCTGAAAACCTTTGTGAACTTTATTAAACAAGGAAATGTTAGCTCACACTTGTGCGCTAATGTGACAGTTGTGATTCTGAGAAGCAAAGCTATTCTTCAAATTATACATGTAAGAGAATGAATAATAAATACAGGCATTGTTTTCTTTGTTCGTTGCAAAATAATACATCACTTTTTGGAGAAGTATAAAAATGCTTTAAAATACTAGTATCTTCTTAAGGTATGTTTTTTCCATATATCTTAGGTAGACAATTTGCTTACACATTACTATGTATAGACCATAAGTTCAAAGAATGTTGTGAAAGATCAGAAAATTGAAAAAAAAAGAAAACCAAAACAAACCAGACTTAATATTGAATGTCATTATTTTGGATTGATTTGTGACATATAACTTTGCTAAAATTTAAGTAAGAAAACTTTCTGTGGTAACTCACCTTGGGGAGAGCGTAAGGAGTTTGTGAGAAACACATTAGTAAATGTGCTCCATTCTAATTTAAAAAAATTGTGAAGTATGTATGTAATTGCCCTGGATATTGTGTTTTGTAGCATTATAGGTGACATAATTATTGAAAGACAATGGGATACTCCTTTAAAGTAAACAATGTGCAGTTTTAAATTCCTTATTCCAACTGCTTAGAACTTAGTTTTTCCAGCTAAAATTTTTATGCTATATATTTGCCTTAGCAATGACTCGGGATGAAATTTAAGAATGATACTTCAAAAAATTAGTCTAGAAAAATATTTTTTTTCTCACATGAAGGAAAAAAACCCCAAACCTGAAGATCTTTCTTAATGGAAAGCTTTAGCACTGTTTTGTTTTATAATGAAGGTTAGAAATTTGGCAGGAATATTTAATTTCTTCATATGTCTCATGAGGAAACAAAGCATCCTGCACACAGAAAGCATGAATTATATTCAGGAAATTATTCCCTAGAGTCATACACTATGTACTTGCTAAAAACACACAAATGTTGAATTTCTACTGTCTGACCCAAGGTGTTTCAAGCCACTTGAATACTGTTGCAGTGTTCTTTGGCCAAATTTGAAAATGGGAAAAGCAAGGTATGTGGGCTACAGAGTGCAGAATGCTCAAGCATGGCATGGCACTGGTTCTCAAGCTTTTTGGGTCAGTGAAAGAAAAATGTCAACTTATAATTCACCAGCATCCACAGTCATCGGCATCACAGGAGCGTTTCAAACACCTGCAGGTGGAACTAAACTGTTAGCAAATCTATTTGCAAAACTGGCACTTGTGCAGTGCTGATTAGTAGTTATGGCATTTTGAGAAAATGAGAAATGCCAGTAATATTCATAGCACACTCTCCTGTATCCTAAGAGTTTGTTTTGCTAGAATCTGTCCTTAATATAAAGCTACTGTTGCTAAACCAGAGAATTTGTACTAAACTCTGTCTCACTAATTAACACGAGTTGTTTTCCTGAACCATTACCCAGGGAGAATTATTTCCTTATCCCCAACCCTGTGTAGCTTTTCATCTGCTTTGGACTCGCTTGTTCTTCCCTCTCAGGGAAGCTAAACAAGACCAGACTTCAATCACTCTCTGTAAATGGCAGCAAATGCAGACTTTAAATACTTCTCTGGGGATGTGTGTATATGTTTAATCTGAATATAAACACAGCCATGTAATCTCTGTGTGTATGCATGTTAAGAAAACCACTGGAAACTGAAATTGCCGTTACCTGATGGGGTTGTTGATGTGCCCAAGTTGACCACTTGCACATGCATTTGCATATATTTTTTTCAAGTATACTGATTTCTATAATATCACTATTTGTAATGTTAAATAACATCGTAATATTGCATAGCTATTTTCCATGCTGTCAACATTAAAAGTATGCAGAATTGAACTACTGCCAACTCGTTAAGACATTGATTAGTCCTGTGATCATAAAGAAAGGCAGAACATACCCAAGTGAAGTAAGAAATTAAGATCAGATTGAAATAATGTAAAATTAACTCATAATTAGGATTTAACACAATATTTCTGGCTGTTCTTTTCTCTTCAGACTAGTAATTCCTACTAAGTTTTAGAAGGAAAATTAGCTTTGGCATTTCTGTGTTATATTCTTTTTATTACTTTTTTTTTCTTTTACTTATTTTTTTTTTTTTAAACAATGCACAGAATCAAAGCATCTGAATTGTTAGACGTGAAACCCTGTAAGAAGGGTGTAATAACACTGCCAATCTGCTTTAGGATTAACAGTCAGCTCTGGTGACTGTAGTGAATAGCAGCAAAGCATGCATATTCTTGGGTAGACATATAAAACAATTTAAAAAATGGTGTTCAAAACATTATTAAATCATACTGCAGAGTAAAAACCATAGAGGTGAAGCTATATGTGAACAGCCAAAAAACTAGAGATTACTAGAATGGATATATAGTGGGGAATTAGTTGGATATATTGAAATTTTACAAGAGTAAATGTAAGTTTACAGATATCCATACTGTATTTCCTCTGTCTGTGGAACAAACAGAAAACCTTCCTGACTTCATATATCATTATTGCATATTTCTGAATAGAAATAAATATCAGTATAGCTGACATTCATTTTAATAAGACTAAATAAAGGGGATGCAAAATGACTGATGACAGAAGGATGTTCACAGGGACTGAAAACACCAGTATGTGACCACTGCAGTCAACTACAGATTAAAATCTGAATATATTTTATTTTATATCAATTTAACCCAAGCTCTTATTTGTAGTAGTACTTGGAGTAAAAATATAAATGTAAATGTTTTGGTTAAGTTTTTGATGATTTTGTTATAAGGATTTTTTCCAGTCTTAGTTTCCTTTTTTTTTTGTTCTTTTTATTGGAATAATACCCGTTCTACTTTCCTCTAGATACAGGGTGAAAACAAAATATGCTGTCTGTTTTTTACTTCTGCTTCCTGCTCCTAATATCTTGGGTTAATGCAATTTAGAGCATTAATTTCCTCTCTTTTACTTGGATAATTTTACTTACTGGATGGAAGGTGCAAAGAAAATTTATCATGAATGCTCACTGCTGTAGCAAACCTTTGGGTTTGAGTCTTTAGTGATGTTTGTCTTTTATTATTTCTCTCCTTTACTTCAAATTGTGACTCTTAGAAATATTAACAGCTATTGAAGAAAGCCTTAAACAGAGAGTTAGGTGGTACTCCTATTAGCTTGTAGCATTTCAGCATAATTGTTGTGTTCTTAATACCTCTGTTGCATTGTTTTTAAAGCTGAAATACATTTCTAGTTTAATTTTTTTCTAGGTCTTATATGTTTTATTGTAAGACTTTAAAAAGTTGTTCATGATGTGCTTACAGAACTGTATCTGCTTCAGAGTACAAACACACATCTTGCTTCATGTGAAACATGCAATAGCATTCTAGAGATTGTCCAGCACGTTTGGAGTGATTTTGTTTGGAGTTTTTAAAATTCAGATTGATGTCCCTTGGTGGAGCATTTTTGTATCCAAGAGTGATGCTTCTTTTTGTCAGCTTATATGGAGAATTTATCTTTGTAGTCAACCCTTTTCCTGCATTTCACTGAACTACAGCTTTGTCTGCACTGTAGTATATGTGCCACAGTATAATAGTTAGAAAAGTTGTTTTGTGTCTAAGTGTTATTCCATTCAAGTGGAAAAAAATTCTCAGTTTAAAATTCACATAAATTAATGCCTTAAAGGATTTCTTTAAGGACTCTGTGCACTTTCCAGTTTAGGTTATTTGCTGATGAAAGCTATTGAATTCTTAATGTATTTATTGCCCACTCAGTATAGCTGTGAGCTGCTTTTCTCATCAGAAATAAAGAGCGAGATGATTGTGTATATGTTTTAATTTGTATCTATTCCCCCTGGCAAAATTCTGCTAGACCAATAATCTGTGTTAGTGCAGCAAATTTAATTTGATTGCATTTGATACATGATTGTAGTACAATTTGGTTTACTCACAGTTGCCACAACTAAGTTGAACAGCTTGCAATAGCAAAGATACGAGAGCAAGAAATATGGTGCAAAGCGTAGACTCTTATGTGCTCCCAGGGGATCAGTTGGGTTTGCTGTATAGACATCTTGTGGGGGTTTAATTCATCCAAAGACTGGATCTCAGAGAGCTGCCTTGATCTTTTAACATAAAATCTGTATGGAAACAAATTCCAACTCTGCTGCCTGCTCATTCTGTCTGTGATCCAGATGTTTAAAAAAGTCTTTAGCTTCTGCTGAATTGTACTTGCCTAGCCCACTGCCGGAGCCCCCCATCAGTGACGTCCTGACTTGTTGCTGAAGAGAATATATGGGAACTTGGGGGGTTTTGGTGTTACATTGTTCCAACATTTCATCCAAGACATTCCACTGCCTTGGTAAGACAGATAGCTGGGGCTGAGTTCTCAAATCCTTCTGCCCTGTACTGTCTTGGTTTCCATATTTGTTCTTCTGAACTAATGGCAGCACCTTAGTGTTTCTACTGGGATGAAGCACACTGGCTTTGTCAAAGTCTTGGAACTGAGACCTTTTTTTCAAGGTTTTTGCAGCTTGCCTCATAGATGTTATATTGCTTTAGAGTTCTGCACAGTATTCTTGGGGATGGACACGTATTTCAGGAGTGCTTTTATCTCCATTTCAGGAGCGTGTTTATCTCCTCCTTACCATTAGCTGTCAGCATGATTGGTGGAGTGAGGATGCTGCCATACCAGAGCACAAGTCCGGATTCTTGATGGGTTTGATGTTTCTGTGACACTTTTAGTCTCTACCATGTTTGTGAATGGGGATCTTGATGTTCAAATAGATAGAAAGACAAGCAAGTTTCCTCAAATAGGAACATCTGCCACTTTTAATTATGTGTTGATGGTAAAGGGGTATTAAGGCATTGGTCATTTGGGCTGTGTCAATTGCATTGTCAGTTGAAGAGGAATTGAAGTTTGCCTTTGATCTGTATTGTGAGTTGAAAAGAGTAAGTGAATATTCATGTTAATCTGATCTTAAGTTTTTAACCTAGTTGCTGATGGGGTCACTGCTGATGACAATTGCTTGTGGATGTCTGTTCACTTGGAACTGCAGAGAGAAAGCTGGTTTCTTTAATTTCTTTGCCAAATACCCTTCCTGTGATATATTTTCAGCAGCTACGCACAGAAGGAAAATGAGCATTTCCCAGGCTGCATCTTGAATTTTGGCTGCATCCTGATTCCAAGTCAAAGTCAGACTGAAGGATGTGCCAAATTTCCACCTTTTTTTTTAACTTTTTCCTTTCTGCTGTGATTTCCACAAGAAAGTGCAGTATGGAGGGGACCTGTGGCAAGCAGAGGTCAGGAGCTTGAGGTCAGGACTAGAACATTAGCCTATGCTGTGGGATGCACCCACCAGAGTTTCCAGTCATCTGTATAGTCGGCAGTCATCTAGGTCAAGTACAACTCCTCTTCCTATCTTTTCATCCATTTTCACTGTTGAGTCAGCAGGGAAGATATGCCTGTGAAGGATACTAAAGAACACTTGAAACTGTGTTTTGTGTTCAAGATCCTTAGCACTTCAGCTATTTACATGTTTTGTTATTTGAGGTATGCCCAAAAAGGCTGTTTCCATCCTCTTCAGCTCTCTGTATTGAGCAACAGCAGAAATCCCTATATTTTGCACTACTAATACAACTGCTTGTGTTTGTGTGTATGCATAAATATATATATTTTTCCAGGCATGTCCTTTCCTCGGTATTTAATTTATTAGTAATTCCCTTCTGTTTGGTCTTGCAGCTGGCAGATTTCCGAGAGGTGGTCTCGCGGATGCTGGGCCTCGACGTTGCCAGCCTGGCTCTTCCTGACTATGAAATCATTACACATCTTGAAGGGTTGATTCACTCTCGTCACCACCACTGCTTCCCCTGTGTCTGCCTGAAAGACGTGGCAAGGGCACCACAGGAACACTCGCAAAGCAACATACCGCTTCTTCACTGAAACACATGTTTTGTAAGGAGACAGGAGAAAGTTGAATTTTCTTTTGTGCTTCCCTACCTGCTAGACATGCATGGAAAGCAGATATTTATTTCTGTTCCCTACTCTACAGATACTAATTTGCGTTGATTTTTAGTGCTTCAGTGGGGAGACTGAGCCAAATGGACAGAGTAAAGCCAGCAGCCTAGAGACAGCAAACAAAATTCCTGGGAAGCATAGTAGTTCAGTTATGAAAACAATAGGCAATGTGTTTAGAACAATGTCTAGCCCTCCACTTTCATTGCAGAGGAGCTGAAGGCATGGGCCATCCCAGGTCAGTTCACAGTCTTGAGAAGTACTCACTAATTAATGTCACCTTCAGTGATGTTCCTTGTGCTTTACCTCTAAGTGATGGGGATGAAATAAAGTGGGGGTTGTCTCACTGCTATTTCTCTTGCAAAATGGGACCTGTCTCTGCATTTTTACGCATAAGGATTTTAGCATCAAGGCAGTTAGCTGGAAGTTAGAGAGAGGACTATCACAATTTTGGAATAAGGGATTTTTTTTCTTCTGTGGTTTTCCTTGTGCCAAAACAAAAAGTTACGCTTTTTTAGCAGAGGTTCTTTCACAGGGTCCAGTCACATGCCTGGTGTAGATATATGTGGTAAAATTGCATGTTGCCCTTGGTCATGATGTCTTGAAAGTTTGTCTTCTAGCTGCTGTATTCCTTCGACAATTAATCTGTAGGCCAAATAAGTAGCAGTTCCTCTGAGTAAATTAAAAGTTATTTAAAAATGCTTATCAGCTACAGAAAATAGTTGGATTACTAAAGTCTTTATTTTCAGAAAAACAATGATAAGATGTCCAAAGCTGCTTGTCTATCACCTTTTCTGAGTGTTGTTAAACGATTTTTTAAAGAAATTAGAACAATAAATCTGTTTTAACAGCACACTCAAAACATCATTCTCAGTTTTTAGTTGTCTCTTCCTATTATATGTTTTATATGGATGTGTAGAACAGTAAGAAAGACTTTTTAAATCTGACCATTGTGGACTTTCTACAGTACCTCAGCAAACGATAAACCACTCACTAAAACTGAGAACACTATTTTAAGAAAAATGAGACTTTTTCAAGTAAGTAATTTTGGTGTCTGGCAAGGGACTCAAAACTTTATAGGTTGCTTTTATTTCACTTGAGTTTGAAGAATCACTTTTTAGTGACTCATTAGTAAGAAAACAAAAAACACCCAAGCTTTTGCAAAACCAATCTTTTGAGGAAATATGGTAAATTGTATATGCTCCTTTGGCTACCTGGATTAAAATAAATTTATTTTCTTGTTTTATAATGTAACATTGTTTTCAGGTAAATTTTAGTAAATGGAATAAAGGAAAAAGCTAATATCAAAATACCTTGACTTAAACTTAGGAAAGCATCACAAATTCAAAGTAAAATAAAAGACTGAAACGTAAATATTTTTAGCATGATATGCTGGATGGGAATCCAGAGGGTGGAAAAGGATGTAATAATTTTCTAATTCTTCATGAGACAATAAAAGTAGTTTTAGCTTGTGTTTTGCTGATTCTGTCTTCTGCCTGAGTTACTAAACAACAAAAGCTGTTTTCTTCATCCACATTAATTAGTATTATACAAAGCATATTTTACTATATTTTGCAAGTTAAATAAACTGCATTGCAAAATTAGGTCCACCCATCACAGATAATACAGTAATAACTCTAAGATTTAGTCTCTGAGAGTGGCAATCATAAAGTAAGTATGCATATTTGGCCATATTTTATGTGAGATGTTTTCCTAATGTCTGCCAGGAGATTTAAAATCTCTTGCCATGCTCAGCAGTCCTGTAACCTGCCACCCTGCGACCAGCTGTGGCACCAGCAGCGAAGTTCCAGCCCCACGGAAGCCACCAGCAAAGTTCTCTGAATTACTTCAGAGGGCAGGTTTTCACATACAGCTGATAGCAAAGCTTAATTATTGTCTGTGTTCTTGTCTGTTAAGCCAACAGAAAGTAGAATAAGGGTTCTCTAATACCTCTTTTTTTAATGGGGTTGATCAGTATTTTTTTGAAATATTAATGCTAATGTTCATCAAGGAATATGACCTCTTAGCTGACTATTAATATTCCCTGTATTTACTTTTGGAAGAGTACTGACGTCTTTGCTCATTTAGCCAAAGCAAATAAAAAACAAACAAACAAAAAAGTAAAGAAGTAATTTGACATGAACAAAGTTCAGGTGATTTTTGACCCATGTAATTTAATTAACCCCTGAACAAAGTTTAAACTGACTTGCAATCTTTTTTTAATGTTTGTTTCATACAGCATTCAACTTAGTTCTCCTTTTATTAAAAAATAAAATAAAAAAATATTAAAACAGGCTTATGAATTTTTTCAGCGTTTGTTTCAAATGTTTTCTTCTTTTTTTAAACTAAGATGCATTCAACACAAGACAGATCTGATCAAAACCTGGAAGTCTGTATTAAGGCTGTGTCAACAGTCACCTCCTTTTCAGTTGACTATTTTTACTAGGTTTGTTTATATTAATAAAAGGTGTGGGATTGAGAGTTTGCTATGTGTTAATAATTACTCTTTAATTGTGGTAAAGGATTATTGATTTATCAACAGAATAAATATAAAAAAAAAGTAATATATGTGAAATCACAGAATGGTACAGTTACAGGGCCAGATGTTTTTTCTCCAATAATCACCAAACCAACAATTAAGACAACTTTATTACTTCAGATTGGCAGTGTTATAAAACGTCAACAAATTAAAATGTTTCAGTTGTAGATATTGAAATGAACGTATATTCATGCCATAAATATTATGCTAATAAAATCACAATGCAAATAGAAAAACGAGTGTTATAATGTTATGAGATATATAAAAATAACATTTATATATATGTTATATATATAAATTATATA